ACTATTTGGACTATTAATAATAACATGAAACTTAATATTTCCAAATGCAAAGAGCTAATAATCGATTGTGCTAAAGATAAAAGATCTTTCGAACCCCTGACTGTGTCTGGTAACCCAATTAAGCTCGTCGAATCGGAAAAGATTTTAGGTCTCGTGGTCCAAAATAACTTAGGGACCGGTCATTATTTATGGTGGGGAGTGGCACCGAAGAGAAATGTTTTTCGTGGCAAAAATTTTGCTGACCCAACCATTAAAAAGACAAAAATTTGATTACCCAACCTCAAATATCAATTAAAAAATAATTACCCACCCTGGCAAAAACGTTACAAAAGGATACCATTCAGTTGTCACACATGTCCTTTACCACTTCTGTGACATGAGTTTGATAACTGCTTGTGCAATTTTCTGCAGTCTAAAGTTTCATGTTGTCTGCACATGTACTTTCTTTGGAGACACCATTTGTTTTGTCAAAATGATCAAGATAGTGACTCTGATTGATTCATATATTGTATTGACAAATGACTGTTGACATTGCTTTTCAGTCAACAATATTTTGACAGCGAGTCATGTTTTTGAAATAACAATAAATTTTTATTACCCAACCCTTGAGTTGTTTTGTTTTTCATTTACCCATCCTTTTACTTTCTCAAAATTTTGTTTACCCAACCCTTTTCTCTTCGGTGCCACCCCCCACCATAAATAATTACCGGTCCCTTAAAATGGAATCTACACGTGGATAATATCGTTAAAAAGTCCAGTAAACGACTGTATATGCTGAGGTTACTAAAACGGTCTAACGCGGATACGAAGACTTTGATCGTTGTGTACATTACTGTAATAAGACCGATACTTGAGTATGCTTGCCATGTGTGACATTTTAACATTCAAAATTTTTTATCTGAAGACATCGAACGAATCCAGAAACGCGCACGAAAGATCATTGTCCCCTTTTCAAGTTATGGCGAGGCATTACAGATTACGGGTATCACTACACTGTATATACGACCGGCGTAAAAGCCTTTGCGGCCAATTCTTTAGACAAAATATGAATAATGATAAAATGACGGACTTGTCTCCAGATCCATATACATCAAATTATGACTTAAGATTACCACGTAAATTTAATAATTATGTCTGCAAAACGGACCGCTTCAAACAGTCCTTTTTTCCCCAAATGATTTTCAAAAAGAATAGTAGGATTATAACCTAGTTATTTTAGTATTTAGCCATCACAATTTATTCTTATTGTAATATAGTTGTAGTATAATATTTTTTAGTCATAACTTCATGTTGCTAAGAACTTCTGTAGGTGTGTTACAGTAGCACACCTTAAGGTGTGTTTTATGCTTGTCCAGAAAACAACACACCTTTAGGTGTGTTTTGAGAAAAGGTGTGTTTGTTAGCACGCCTTGGTGTGTTGCTGTAACACTTTAAGGTTTGGTTACAAAAAGTTCATTTTTAATAAATTAAAAAATAATAAAAATGCCTCGATTAACGAAAGATCAAAGAGTTTGGGTTTTATAGTTTTCCGTGCAAGACATTTGTAAACGTGAAAAAGACAATTAATTTCGTCTTTCTAAGACGAATTAATTTCGTCTTTCTAAGACGAATTAATAAATTGTTTATCCAACAATTATACTTTTTCATTTGTTCTTTAATTTGGCCACAATAAAACTATATATCAAGTTTAACCAAATAATATACACTTAATGTCTGCTCCCGAGGGAAATAGTTAGTGAGACGAAGAGAGACGAAGTCGAGGGAAACATTAAGATTCGAGGGAAAACAAAACTATTTCCCGAGGGAACAGGCATTAAGTGTTTTGTTATAGCGACGAACAAAAATCAACTTCAACAACATTCATACAACAATTGTATTTCGTGACAAAAACTGTATAGTGTAAACGAGTTTAAAATTAAAAGAACCTACTTAAACGGTTTCAGCAGCATATCCTGTTGCCTGTTGTGTATTTTTCTTCTCTTTTATATTCTTTATTTGAACACAAACTTGGAAAATCGTAGTTTCTAATTATCTGAGTTGTCCCGCCATTTTGTTTATTTATGTACGTGGCCGGTCGGGGCGGGCAACAATTTTTCACTTGTTGCCCGGCGGGAAACATTGCATTTATCTGAAGTCACGTGACCACAAATCGGCCATTCACGTTTGGTGTTCACGCTAGCTATATAACAATATTTGATAGGTAATTTATGCAAATTTTTAACATTGTCAAATATGCTTATTCGATTTAAAACATCGATAGCTCAGTCAATGTTGCACGGATATTTAAATGTTATATCAAAACCTTAAACTCTAAGCGTGCAAAGCATAATGGGAGCATCATTTAACCAGTTTAGAAATCATATGCATGCATGGGGCTCATTTCTTAGAGACAAGGTAAATATCTCCTTACGAGAACAATTCATTCACAAATAGCTGCAATATACATTCACATTCTGTTTGGTATATACGTCTTGTTTATATTAAACCAACTTTGGTCTTTGCGTCATGTCCCCTTCTGACTAAATATACTGGTCGGAATAATCATTTTGACGTCCGTTGTCATAGGATATAAAATTTGTCTTTCATAATCTGATTAACGGTAATTGGTTTTGACCGCAATCATTGAAATGTAAAGAAATTACATTGGGCTTTGGAAAACTTATAATTTTTGGCAAACCCTTGGATTGGATTGGAAAGCCTATATATACCGAATATATATAGGCACGATATTTCAACTGTTTCGGCGTTTAAAACTATTTCGGTATAATTTATACACCTCACGAAGGTCGTTAGCGATTTATATGGTGGATATATCTCTCGAGGTTTTAACATTCGAGTGAAATTAATAATTGGAAGCGCCGTGTCTATAAAATTGGACAATAAAATTGTCCACGTGCACATTTGATTGTTAATCAGTGAAATGAATATCTTTTTCTTCAAACCAAATTTGTTTCAGGACACGCGTGTTTATTCCTCGCGAGACCAGTTCAGGGAGCTACAATCTTGGACAAAACCCTTGAGACTATTCCAGCTAATATTACAAAGTAATTGAACATTGACGAAACAAACTTTGTGTCCCCTCCCCCCCCCCAATTCAATGTTGTCGAAACCACTTTTGGTAATATACCATGACACAAGCTCAACATTGAGTTGGGGGAGCGGGAGCTTAAGAAGGGCAACATGATTCAACATGGAGTTTATTATCAAAATATGTGAATTTTGTATAGGGGGAAAATAGTCTCAACCAGTTATGTCCTGAGATTTAGCATGTCGTTTTAATAAGTAAAAGTATATAGTCTACTATAGGAAGCTTTATCTGAATAAATGCATTAATAGAAAGTTTTGAGCGTTGTTAAAAGGATACATATTCATGTTGACGGATTGACCGCGCTCTTCGCATGCGTGAAAAGACTGGGACTGGCCTTCATGTTTGGCTTCAAATTTCCGGTTGGAGCTTGTAGCGCGTTCCAGTAAAATTGATTCACTATTGTTAATACAATACAACTAATACAAAATATACCAACCGCGGCAACTTAAAACGGGCAGCGTTTGCGCAAAACGGATTAGGAATATTAAAGAATAATTGGTTGCTTAATTGCGTAATATCTTTCCCATTGCAAAAAAAATTCACAGCCGAAATAGGAATTTTTAATATTGCTCGGTTGTGTTGTTACTATCTGCTATTTAACGCAAAAGTGATTTGCTTTCCTACTTATACTTTTTGTAGAAAAATTGAAAAAATGATGACAAACCCAGACAGGTCTTTGCGAACTTGAAGACTGGCTGACGTATAGTTTATAGAAATTACTGAAGCACATCAATAAAAATAAAGCAGTCATTGGGAGAAAGGTCTTGCAAGAGACGAGGCGTTGATTGAATTGGTCCTTCGATTGAATCCTTGAAGCTGTTTGTGCTAAAATGTGGTTCTTCAAACTGACATATACGAAATGGATAACAATATGTGTCTTGCTATTCCGTGCAAAGATTACCAGTGGTAAGATTACCAGTGATTACCAATGGTAGTTATTAAAAAAATAAAGTAAATGGAAATTGTCGAGTGTAAATTTTATGTAATAGATAAAGCATGAGCGGCCGTATGAGCGGCCGTGTTGTGTATCAGATATACAAACTCGAGCCGAAGGCGAGAGGTATACGTTGTATGTCTGGGACAACACACGGATGCGAATGCTTTATATGGCTTGTGAAACGTCTCGATGAGAACATTCGTATTCTTCATTGATTTTAAATATTCAATGAATGATATTTGGTGAGAAAATTAAACTTAAAAAACTCAATAATTCAGGAGGAAAACACAAAGAAAAATCATAAGCGATTAAGCGTGTCGTATCTTTATATGTGATAAAAAATCATGTTAATTTACATAAACTTTAGCTTTGATTTTCTCGGTTTAGACCTGAAAGTTTATTTTAAAAATTACTTCGCCAATGTACTCATATAAGATGGGTCGTTTTTTAAGCCATTTAAAGCACTTGTAGTCGTGTTTTGTCAGATATAAAACGCTCGGCTGCGCCTCGCGTTTTATATCTGATAAAACACTCCTACTCGTGCTTTAAATAGTACTTAAAGTTTATGTAAAATGAGTTTTTTTAAGTACTGTTTAAAACATGAGCAGTAGTGTTTTATCAGATATGAAGATACGAGGCGAAGCCGAGTATCTTTTATAGGTCTGATAAAACACGCACTGCGAATGTTTTAAATTGCTTCAAAAACGATCAATCTGGTAAGTTCATTGGCAAAGTAATTTTCAAAAAATACGTTGTGTAAGTCGAGAAAATCAAAGTTATAAAGTTTATATAAATCAAGCAGGGAAAACTCTATCACATATAAAGATACGCCACGCTTATGATTTTTCTTTGTGTTTTCCTGATGAATTATTAATGTGTTTTTAAATACATTTATTAGACCCTAAGCGATTTATTTAATACACATTCACACCATGCACCATTCACCAAGTTAATTTCAGATATTTTTTGTTTTAGGTGTGAGTTATTTCGGTTATGGCTCGTCAAAATCACCTTCTCAGGCTCAAGGGTACTGTAGTCAAAGTATTGGTGCAAATCTAGCTAGCTTCGTCAGCCAGGATGACATTGACAGAATTATAAGTGTTATGCCCGACTCGAACTGGTATTACTGGACAGGACTTAAGTATACACAGTCCAGTAACTCATGGAGCTTTATGGACGGGACGGATACTACATTCGCCTTGTCAAGGATTGGTGCTCAAAGTTATAACTCAGATAAGTGCGTGCTGATCCTCGCTGGTGGGACATTCAATCCAACTCATTGTACAGAATCGAGGCAATTTATTTGTCAAATTGGTCAACATCCAATTCCCACAGATCCACCAAGTTCATCAGGTTAGACTAAAATAGTTGTTTATCCTTCGGTTAGTTTTCATAATAAGCCAGTATACATACTAGTGTCGACTGCGCATCCAAAATGACTCGTTTTGAGACGAGACAAAATTGCGGTTGAATCATAACATGGATTGAATCATAGCAAAGCGGAAGCCGTGCCGAGCGAGTGTTGCATGTAATTGCGGTGGCAATCGAAGTTAGTTCGGTGCGTAAGTTTGTTAGTCTCTTGGAAATCATAAGTCTTGATAGCAATTCAAAAATAGTATGTCAAGTCGCCAACGTGCTGTTTTGCGCATGCTCCAGGGCGCCGCACGAGTACTATATTGAAGGATTTGTAGACGGAAATTTCGAGAGGAATTTTATACATTTTATTAAACCTAACCAGGAGCAGTTGGATAACGAAATGGATAACAATATGTGTCTTGCTATTCCGTGCAAAGATTACCGGTGGTAAGATTACCAGTGATTACCAATGGTAGTTAAAAAAAGAAAGTAAATGGAAATTGTCGAGTGTAAATTTTATCAGTGTAATAGATAAAGCATGAGCGGCCGTGTTGTGTATCAGATATACAAACTTGAGCCGAAGGCGAGAGGTACGTTGTATGTCTGGGACAACACACGGATGCGAATGCTTTATATGGCTTGTGAAACGTCTCGATGAGAACATTCGTATTCTTCATTAATTTTAAATATTCAATGAATGATACTTGGTGAGAAAATTAAACTTAAAAAATCAATAATAATTCAGGAGGAAAACACAAAGAAAAATCATAAGCGTGTCGTATCTTTATATGTGATAAAAAATCATGTTAATTTACATAAACTTTAGCTTTGATTTTCTCGGTTTAGACAAAGTTTATTTTATAAATTACTTAGCCAATGTACTCATATAAGATGGGTCGTTTTTTAAGCCATTTAAAGCACTTGTATAGTCGCGTTTTGTCAGATATAAAACGCTCGGCTGCGCCTCGTGATTTATATCTGATAAAACACTCCTACGCGTCCTTTAAATAGTACTTAAAGTTTATGTAAAATGAGTTTTTTAAGTACTGTTTAAAACATGAGCAGTAGTGTTTTATTAGATATAATGATACGAGGCGAAGCCGAGTATCTTTAGGTCTGCATGATAAAACACGCACTGCGAATGTTTTAAATTGCTTCAAAAACGATCAATCTAGTAAGTTCATTGGCAAAGTAATTTTTTGGGTTGTGTAACTCGAGAAAATCAAAGTTATAAAGTTTATGTAAAATCAAGCAGGGAAAACTCTATCACATATAAAGATACGACACGCTTATGATTTTTCTTTGTGTTTTCCTGATGAATTATTAATGTGTTTTTAAATACATTTATTAAACCCTAAGCGATTTATTTAATACACATGCACACCATGCACTATTCACCAAGTTAATTTCAGATATTTTTTGTTTTAGGTGTGAGTTATTTCGGTTATGGCTCGTCAAAATCACCTTCTCAGGCTCAAGGGTACTGTAGTCAAAATATTGGTGGAAATCTAGCTAGCTTCGTTAGCCAGGATGACATTGACAGAATTATAAGTGTTATGCCCGACTCGAACTGGTATTACTGGACAGGACTTAAGTATACACAGTCCAGTAACTCATGGAGCTTTATCGACGGGACGGATACTACATTCGCCTTGTCAATGATTGGTGCTCAAAGTTATAACTCAGATAAGTGCGTGCAGATCCTCGCTGGTGGTACATTCAATCCAACTCATTGCACAGAATCGAGGCAATTTATTTGTCAAATTGGTCAACATCCAATTCCCACAGATCCACCAAGTTCACCAGGTTAGACTAAAATAGTTGTTTATCTTCGGTTAGTTTTCATAATAAGCCAGTATACTAGTGTCGACTGTGCATTCAAAATGAATCGTCCTGAGACGAGATAAAATTGCGGTTGAATCATAACATGGGTTGAATCATACCAAAACGGAAGCCGGCATGCCGAGAGAGTGTTACATGAAATTGCGGTGCCGAGCGAGTGTAGGCATCGCTTTATATTCGGTGCTTGAGTTTGTTAGTCTCTTAGAAATCGTAAGTCTAGATATTCGTTCAAAAATAGTATGTCTTCGCGCTTGTGGTGCACTTGTTTAAGCCGCCAACGTACTGTTTTGCGCATGCTCCGGGGCATCGTACGTATACTATTGAAGCGATTTGTAGATGGAAATTTCGAGAGGAATTTTATACATTTTATTAGACCTAACCAGGGGCAGTTGCGAAAAATGAAAACCGTAGACTTTCTGGCAGGAATCGTACCTGTGCCCGTGCGATTCCAGTGCTGCGCTCTAACCAACTAAGCTACAGAGGCCATGCAGTTGCTCGCGAGCTGCGTATATAATGCAATCAAGAAGCCTAAGGGACCGGTCATTATTTATGGCGGGGGGTGGCACCGAAGAGAAAATGGTTGGGTAAACTAAATTTTGAGTAAGTATATAAAAGGTTGGGTAAATGAAAAACAAAACAACTCAAGGGTTGGGTAATAAAAAGTTATAGTCATGCATATGTCAATACAATATGTGAATCAATCAGTCACTGTACGTCTTGATCATTTTCCAATTTGTTAGAAGACAAATGGTGTCTCCAAAGAAAGCACATGTGCAGACAACATGATACATTAGACTGCGGCAAATTTTACAAGCAGTTATCAAACTCCTGTCACAGAAATCGGGTAAAGGACATATGTGACAACTGAATGGTAACCTTTTGTAAAGTTTAATTTTGGCCAGGGGTGGGTATTTATTTTTTACTTGATATTTGAGGTTGGGTAATCAATTTTTTTACTTTTTAATGGTTGGGTCAGCAAAATTTTTGCCACGAAAAACATTTCTCTTCGGTGCCACCCCCCACCATAAATAATGACCGGTCCCTAATCACTGGAATTTTTTTCAAAATCCTTACTATGGATCTTAGTTGAGAGTAGTATGGAAATCCAATTTTCATATGCTAATTGCAATTTGCATACTATGGGTATAGTATGGATATATATACTATGGATTTAGTGATGCAAACACAAATTCCATGGTATGAATTTTATTATTTAGATACCTGCCAAAGCCAGCCGAGTAAAGGCCTAGGTCTAGGCTGGCAAAATCTATTGTTGGTATATTCAACAATAATATTTTAAAATTTTCCGGTCATAGCCGTTGATTCAACTGCAATTTTATCCCGACTCAGGACGTGTTATTTGGGTGTGCATGCGGTCGAAACTTATAAAAGTGGCTTATTCTTATATGAACTACCATGCAGTTACAATGGAAATTGAATGTGATTATTATGATTGGGCATCATGGAGACGGCTGATGAAAACAGTTGAGGTTAGTGCGAATTTCTCGGGAGATTTTTTAATAGCCCTGTTATTGCGGGGGTACAAATGCATTGACTGGGAAAAAGCTTCGGAAAATAACATAGTATTTGCAAAACATGTTATTTTAATATTACAGTGATGCATTTATTAACACACTTATATGAATTTTAAACCGTATTTGCACATTCCTCATATAGACAATTTCCGAATTGTCCGGGTGCACACAAAACAATATACAATCATTGCAGAAATTAGTTGGGACACTTGCTAAAATATCTACTACAGGTTGATTTGTAAAACTAAAAACAACATTGTAAAAGGGGGAGGGGGATGTATGTCACCTTTAAGGACAAGTGTCCCAACATTTTTCTGCAAAGATTGTAGCTTGAAATCGAGGGGAACAACATATTCCATTGTAAATAAGAAGTCGTCTTTGGCGCGGCCTGCACTGCTGCAGCATGCAAATTAGGGAAGTGCCTATATGCAATAGAATGGCAGTTTGAAGATTTTTTATACAAATATTTACCTTCGCGTGTCTCGCAAATTGGACGCATTTATGTATGCTCGACCTGTAGACGTTAATTTAATTAAATTAAGGAATTTATACTCAACAATTTGATATAAAATTTCATTAATTTTTTCGTTTATCACTTATAATAACGTTATATAGCTACATGTAACAAAATCACAATGTTTTGAAATTCATGTGACATAAAGTCCCATATGTCGTCCATTTGAAAACGATGTTTGCCTGTTTTGAAAACATTCGATATCCACCATGATATTTATATTCTTCAATAATGCTAATTGCATGTAGCTGAATATTAGAAAATATTTGAATGGTTGTTCGAAACAATCGGTAGCATTTTTGGTCGTGATCAACTGTCGATCCTTTGATCTATATTCACAAAAAGTCGTATCCAACCATGCATATTCAATAAAGTTTGATTTTATTGAAAAATAATTACATCTACAATTTTTCTTTTAATAATACAACTTGCAACTCATTATCTGTAAGACAATTGGTTGTACCGGTTATTTAAATTTCATTTCAGTCCGTCATATATAGTGTAATTTATACTGTAATCCATGAGCAACTTGCATTGGCAATTAATTTTCAAAGTTATGCCAGTGTACACAAAATCATATGATCAATTTTTAATAACGTTTGCCTACCTAATTGGGACAATGAAGATGATATTCGATCTAATCATTATTTTCCAATAATATTTAGAAAATTAAAAAAAATAAATGGTTGAATGTTGAAAATGATGGGATATACCTAATTCAGTTCGTTAAGTTTTAACTATATATCAATATATTGAAATCATGAATTATACTGACCAGCTGAAAGAAATTCACACAGAAGCTGACATTGAGACATTGCGGTCTTTTTGACTGTTTGTTCTTCTTGACGCCTCATTGCTGTAGCAGGTGAACAAACTACATCTTTTCACAGCAAAGCCCACAAAGCTTTCATGCTTTGGGACAACATGTTGTGGCATTTTCTTATCCTCGCTTTTTTGCCAGCTTTTCTCGAAGCATCAGGTTAGTATAATTATTCTGTGTTTTTTTTTAATTCGTATATTATTGGTTATTTAATTAATAGTGTGGAGATAATAAAGTTTATATACGTTATTTATCTGTGGCTCGCAGTTATAAATTTAAGATCTTATATATAATACTTCTTCACTCTATAAGATGCTGGTTATATAATTAAACATCTTTTTTTAAATAGCATGGAGTTTAATAAATCTGTAACCTGTAGGCTACAAAGTATACATAACGCTGTATTTCAAGCAAAATTTTGTAAAAGTATTGTTATTATAACCTATATATGAAGTAATTATTCTCAAATTAGTTAAGGGAGCTGTATAATCCTTATAACAAAGATATACTGTTTGCCATCTATTCACGATTCAATGACTATACATTGTCCGATAATCAATTGTTCTTTTGTTTTAAAAAATACAATGGTCATGCATATACTATCCTAACCAGTCGCCCATTGTTTTGACTTTTTCAATTATTCTGCAAAGGAACGATACTTTTGACATGCACAAACAACTATAAAGTTTAATCCCTGCGTATTTAAATAACACACAACAAAATCCCGACATTATATAGTATATATAACAGAGTATTTATTTCAATTGAAAGAAATCTAAATATAATATTTATATTTCAATGGAAATTATAAGCAATTTGCATGATTTCATGTTACCTGCAATTTTATTTCAGCTGCCAACAGGCAAACCTACACAGGACGCTGTACATCTACGAAACGCGGTTCAAAATGGTTCTCCGTTTGTAAATCAAAAGGTATATAGATTAGATTGCTTGCTGTTTTTCTAATTAATGCATGGTATGTCGTAAATGTGTAATTTGTTATATCATAGTTATAATAGAGGAGATGGTTTGGAAACTCGTTAGCATTACAATAA